TATCTATCTATCATCTGTCTGTCTGTCTGTCTATCTATCTATTGTCTATCTATCTACCTATCTATCTATCTATTGTCTATCTGTCTGTCTGTCTGTCTATCTATCTGTCTATCTGCATATCTGTCTGTATATTTGTCTGTCTATCTATCTATCTATCTATCTAACCCCATTTGGATCAAGATGGTAGTGCTTTCTTGGACTAATCTGTAGATAGACCTATATTTATAAAGCAAATAGTTGGCAGCAAAGTTTGTATGACCTTTGGTTTTGTAAATGCTACTCTGATTAAACTGGAAACAATGTGTAGAACAGCAATGAAAAGTTCTTTCATTCACATTTCCCCCCCCAATCCAATAGCTAAACAGCGCCCCCTACTGGCCAGCAAAAGTGACACATCCTTAAATATTTTCATCCATAAACGTTTACATGCCATTAATAAACTTTTAAGGAGTTTTGAGTAACATTAAGTATGCAAAAATAACCACATTTTATTTCAAATAACTTTAAATAAAACAGAAATAAGTGTGTTTTAGGATATATATATTTGCCTTAAAAACCAGCAAAAATACACTGTAAACATTTATGTGGTCTACTTGTTTGGGTTAGCTGGTTGCTGTAATGGGAGTTTCTGCCCTTTCAGTTCGAATATTACTTGATTGACATTTTTGTCACGCACCCAGTAATATACCACCAACAAACAACAAAAGTATACATGCTCATTATGGTGTACAAATCAGCTGCACAAGCTTTTCCCATCCTTGAGATACAGAGGGAACTCAAACCGAGGCTGAAAAAAATGTTGACAGGCTGTTAAGCGTTTCAAAGGTCAACCACAGAATTGGCTAATTTATGTTACTTGATCTCCAGCCAGTGTGTTTGTAACAAAATGTGAGCTATGGGAGCCGCAGCATTTTCAGAGAGGGGAACACTGGTTGGTTCATTTGGTTAGTGTTGTGACTTGGTAACAAGCATGGGAACCAGGGGAACCAGGGGCCACTTTAGCCTGTATGAGAAATGTACAATGTTGGATCCCATGGACCTTTAAGGACAAAAAGGACAAAAACAGACATTTTTCAAAGCATTTTCTTTGTGTTCTGTGGAATAAAAAATGCATACAGGTTTGGAACAAACACAGATGTGCTCTAAATTAAATGAAGAATGTCTGTGGACTATTTTTTACGTCATACCACAAATGTTACTTTGGATTTAAGCCATTTTCTCTCTATATTTGGTGCTTTGGGTCATCGTCCTGCAGGCCTCTATACGTCATTTCTCCTAAAATTACACATTTTTGGTTGCCCAATTCTTTAGGACAGCCTGATCTCAGGAGTGTCTGTTCTGTTTAATGTATTTGCCAATCCCTATCTATCTATCTATCTATCTATCTATCTATCTATCTATCTATCTATCT